ATTAAAATTTCCAAAATTATAAACAATATTCTTATTTTTCGCTGGAATCGGGGAAGTGAAATGACGCAGGCTGGTGAAAGCTAGCCTTCGGGAAGCAAGTCAGCCGAAGCATTCAACTCCTGTTTTTGTTGCTCATCGGTGCACTGGATAATCTTTTGATTTATGTTAAACCGTATTTTTAAGGTTAATGAAAATCTTTTCGAATACGTGTGTTGGAAGGAGTTTTGTCGAAGTTACTTGTGATTGAAACTCTACGAAGAAAAACATACTCAATGAATATAAATACCCAGAAGGATTTATTAATTTATTCACTAATCTGTAATTCGATGGAAGTGAATGAATTCACTCCACTAGAAAGAATAATTATTAGGCGTGAGTGAAGATGTGACATTAGTCAGAGAACCACTGAACCACTGAAATACAAGAAGTACTAGATAGCTATTTTCCATCACTGTAGCTCGAGACTCCTCTTCAGAAGTACTCACAAGTGACCACATCACAGAAATAACTCACTACCTTCGTGAGTAGTCATTCAGCTCTGTTCCACTGGTTAAATCTTAACGTATTCGCCTTGTGTGTTGGCTCCTGACGTGATCTCATTTGAAATCAGTCGAAGCTTCACCAAGCTAAGATTAAAACATTATTTGGTAGTGTTTTTCTTTGAAAATAAATACAAACTAATTTTCAACTAATTTTAATTCATGTTCGAGTTCATCATCATGTGACTAATTTTAATAGATAGTTAAAACTATTGAGACATTCATTTATAAACTGGATACTGTTGAAGGAAACTTCCGTTGGAATCAATGAGTGGGTAAAATATTTCTACTCGAGTCTATTCATTTGTCAAGTGAACCCTGAATACTTGAGAAGCGCTTCTGAAATGCAGTAAGAATTTCATACAAAAATGATTCACCGAAATCACATATAAACAAATATTCCTTCTTCAAATGAAATCCTCCTTCCAATGTCTGACTAGTGGGAAAAGAATATTCCTTTTTTTATAACCTATCCATCACGTCTCAGGGGTTGGTTATATATCCCAATTAGTTAAGGAATACCCGTCGTTGACAACATCAGTGTGTTTGGTTTTTCTAACTAATATCAAATGACTGAGGTGAGTAGATTAGAGTTGGAACATGTGAAAGTGATAATAGGCATAAATATAGTACTAGGAAATAAAAGCATCCCCTGTGGAAGGGTAGTAATAAATGACGGGTGTGAGGAACTGATTGATTCATGACGGTAGGTTACACCCGGAAAGTGTAACGTGATGTGTTGTTCACGAACCGATGGAGAGTGGAGCGAACCTGGGTAAGATTACTGGCTGTACTTGACTCCCCTTTGTGAATGAAGTCTCGGCTATTATAGACGAAGAAGAGGTTATAGAAAAGAATCTTTTTTCTCTGCAATCAGTAATTTGAAAATTTTATCGTGCACCTTTCGATATCCACTACTACTACTACTACTACTAGTACTACTACTACTACTACTACTACTACTTCTACTACTACTACTACTACTACTACTACACTACTACTACTACTACTACTACTACTACTACTACTACTACTACTACTACTACTACTACTACTACTACTACTACTACTACTACTACTACTACTACTACTACTACTACTACTACTACTACTACTACTACTACTACTACTACTACTACTACTACTACTACTACTAATACTACTACTACTACTACTACTACTACTACTACTACTACTACTACTACTACTACTACTACTACTACTACTACTACTACTACTACTACTACTACTACTACTACTACTACTACTACTACTACTACTACTACTACTACTACTACTACTACTACTACTACTACTACTACTACTACTACTACTACTACTACTACTACTACTACTACTACTACTACTACTACTACTACTACTACTACTACTACTACTACTACTACTACTACTACTACTACTACTACTACTACTACTACTACTACTACTACTACTACTACTACTACTAATACTACTACTACTACTACTACTACTACTACTACTACTACTACTACTACTACTACTACTACTACTACTACTACTACTACTACTACTACTACTACTACTACTACTACTACTACTACTACTACTACTACTACTACTACTACTACTACTACTACTACTACTACTACTACTACTACTACTAATACTACTACTACTACTACTACTACTACTACTACTACTACTACTACTACTACTACTACTACTACTACTACTACTACTACTACTACTACTACTACTACTACTACTACTACTACTACTACTACTACTACTACTACTACTACTACTACTACTACTACTACTACTACTACTACTACTACTACTACTACTACTACTACTACTACTACTACTACTACTACTAATACTACTACTACTACTACTACTACTACTACTACTACTACTACTACTACTACTACTACTACTACTACTAATACTACTACTACTACTACTACTACTACTACTACTACTACTACTACTACTACTACTACTACTACTACTATTACTAATACTACTACTGCTAGTACTACTACTACTACTACTACTACTACTACTACTATTACTAATACTACTACTGCTAGTACTACTACTACTACTTCGTTTGAAGACGTTTAGCTTCAGAGCGTTCTCATTCCACTTCTGACTTTTCATGAACTCAAATAGTAAGTACATGTCTTAGTTATGCAGTGAGTGTAGAGATAAATGTTGGATTCGTGAGTCTACAAACCAATCATTTGTCATTTGTTAACTTTCAACATTGATTTCAATTTACTCATTATTGGAGTTCTTCAAATCTTTTGACTCTTGAATCACATCATTCCTAATATTATTTTACAGACTGTTGCACTAAGAACAACAGAGAGAAATATTAGTTCAATGTATATTGTGTGTCGAAGAATACGAGATTTATTATTAGACAATGGTAAGTTGAATCCCTATGGTTATTACTATTATTTATAAATTTATAAACATTACTATTACTAGATATTTAGTGTTTATTATTTCTACTTGGTGATATGAAAAAGGACCTAAAGATCTGACTGGATGACGATTATTTTTACCAAGAAATTATTTTCAGTTTCACTTGTCGTCATCATGATGATGATGGCCAGGTAATCAGAGGGTATATTTGCACGTGGAATGTGATCGCAGATTCTAAATCGAAACTCGGAATATATCGAGAAAGGAATATCCTTTCTTCAAACGGACTCATAATTGATGATATAGAAATATTTTGAAATTCTAAACCACAAGATGTCCTGTTTCAATAATGTTCTTATAGAAAGGCGTGAATTACACTGTACTTTATTAGGGGTCTTCATAGACTTCATACGGGAGAGGATAAAGGACGCCCTGGATGCAAAACTACGACCAGAACAAGCTGGATTCAGGAAAGGCAAATCATGTACTGACTAAATTGCGATTCTACACATCATCATCACAGAAAAAAGCGTGGAATGGCAATCAAACCTCCACCTCAACTTTATAGACTTCGAAAAGGCCTTCGACAGCGATGATCGCGAAGTAATTTGCAAACTACTCGAGTACTACGGCGTACCCCAAATATTCATCAACCTCATTCAACAGCTGTACGGCAACGGAACATGTGAAGTGGTCCAAAACGGGGTTTGGAGTAAACACAGGAGTCAGACAAGGGTGCTTGCTTATTATCACCGACGATGATATTCCTAATTGTGGTGGACTGATTGGATTATGCGTCAAACAGTGAGTGGGAAACGAGAAACGGGACAGGGATATCCTGGACCGAAGCGAAGAACCTGGAAGACCTGGATTTCGCGCGGCGATGATTTATGTTTGATGTCACACAAAATCGAAGACTTACAAGCGAAAACCGACAAACTGGTCGAAGAAGCAGCCAGCGAAGACCGGACTCCAAGTGAACATAGACAAGACGGAGGTTGTGAAAATAACCAACCAACCAATCAACAACAACAACAACAGCAGAAACATCCAGCGCCAATCACCATCCACGGGAGGGATTTGAAAGAGGTTACTTCATTCACTCACTTATCTAGGAGGGAGCATTGTCTCAACTACAGACCGTCGGAACGGACGAGGATGTCAAATCGAGCGAGAATCGGGAAGGCAGGCAGGCGAGAAACACATTCATTCGTCAACCTGAAACAGTCAATCTGGAAATCTTCGTCACTCAGCCAGAATCAACAACAAAATTCGCTCGGATTTTTAATACAAACGTAAAGTCGGTCAGTTCTGCTAGACGGATCAGAAACCTGGCGGGCGGGTCACGAAGAATATTTCCAACAGCTTGTTGCAGGCCTTTATCAACCAACAACTGTCTTCGCTGGCTCTATACTGAAGATCAGATGGCCGGGCCGGACAGAATCACAAAAACGAAACTATGGGAACAAGCAAAACAAGAATGAAACAATCGCCAATCAACAAATATGCAGGAGAAAGTGGAGATGAATTGAACACTCGCTCGCTGAGGAGGCCGGTTGGTGACATCGCGCGCGCGTCAGGCCATTGCTCGAGTGGAACCAGGCCGAAAGGGAAGCAAGCGGTGAGTGGGACGTCAGAGCAAGGTTGACATAGCGGAAATCGTGTGAAGAGGAGTTGAAACAGTATGGACTAACATGGACGCAGGTGAAATGTACAGCAGAAGGAAGACAGAAGTGGCAAGTGGAGACGTGCAGTTGAAGCCCTATGTTCCATTAGGAACCCAAAAGAGCAATAATAATAATAATCAATGCCTTATTGAAATTTATTAAAGGGACTTATTATTTTATTGTTCTTACTTCGCTGTGTGGGCAGCTATGCCTGTTTCTATGTTTGTGTGTGTGTGTGTGTGTGTGAATGTGCGCTATGAGATCATAAGGAGAAATTAAATCAATGTACTTTTTCATTAGCCTGTTTATCTACTCCACATTGCTGTATACACACTGTTTATTTATATTATAAGCAAGTATTGATTATTTTTAACGCTTAGTCATCATCTTCTATCTAACATGTCGATTTGAAAGTGTTAAAACGTTTACTTCCCACATTGTGTTTATGTACACTTTTGTTTCCAACGTCTAATCAAAAAGAAATTGTTTGGTTTATGATAAAAATGTTGTTTTTTCTATTTTCAATCAGTTACTATGGTTTCTCACTCATTCTTGTTGGAAAACAGTCACCATGATATCACAGATAAATAAATTAAGTGACACAAAGATGAAGCAACAGTCACAAGGAATCGTTGTCAAATACAAAGTCGATTCGAGCAAGTCAATGAATCCAAATATCTTGAAATAAAAGACGAATCTATAAAAGAAAGAAAACAGAATAGATTGTTATTTTTCATTAGAATAGAAAAAGAAGTTGGACATTTCGTTCGACTTTACTTATCATAGACAGAAGAAGTAGTATTTTAAATTCAATTGTGGGAACAAAAATGGAACTTGATGATATTAGATGGTCGGAGGCAGTCGGCAGGAAGCCTGGCTTCACCTCGATTCGGTGCTAGTTGGCGCTCACACCAGTCAGCAAGGCGTATCTGCAATCTTTGAGAATGTCGTGTCCCTTCTGAGATTCGAACTCGCGTCAGCCGCGGTTGCAGTCAAAGACTTTGCTACTGATCTATTCAGGCTCACGATTGACCTCCTGTTGGTAGTTCCGATAAAAACCTTTTAGATAGCATTAATAAAAATTGGAGTTGACTATCATACTTTTGCTTAGACAACTTAGACTAAAAGATTTTCTCTGAGTATAAGAGAATGAATGACTTGACAATATAATAATAATAATAGTAGCAAGCAGATGAACCACCCCCGTCTCTTTGCATACTGTAAGCGTTTAGTATTCACAAGACTTTATTTTGTCTCTCTAGCAATTTTAAAAGAGGCTAAAGGGGCATAATAATCTCTGAAAGATGTGTGATTTCCGTGTGATGCACGTGTGATGTACGTTCGACATATCAATGATAGACACACCATCATTAACAACAACTTTTAAAAAAACTATACTTGAATACACCTTAAAACAATCTGTCCATAAATATCCACCCACCCACCCACTACTACTAATCACAATCCCGGACACTTTGTATGCGATTTCAAACAATATACTACCTTATTGTTCATATATTACAAGATTGGGTGGGATTCTAATTTGAGATCTGTCATGACGAGGTGTTACTGCGTTGTGAATTCATTAAACCTGAATAGTATGCGCCTCGAGAACACGATACTGTAGTGTTAACTGACCATTTGGAATTATCTCCCACACTGAGATAGACACAAATGTCAGACTGCGGTAATAATGACGATCGGAATGACAACGACAACTTTTATTAGACAAAATACATGTCATATTATTATATTTACCAAACATTCAAGAATTTAAGCCATAAACAAAACATTTCAACATTTCAACTGTGGTTCAAATTATATAGGGCGCACGAGTAGGCAGGTTCGTCTACGGGTTCGAGAACACTTATCAGCTTGGTTCAGCAGGGCGGAAATTAAGTGCATAAGAAAATGTATCCGCCGCCGCATAGCTGGCCTTTACTGTGCGTCGGTGGCACAGTGGTTAGGAATCTCGCCGACCATGCACATGGTCCGAGGTTCGATTCCCTCCCGACGCACACTTCATATCTATGGTCGGCCTTCAAAATTTGGGCTACCGATATTCATCCTGAAAATTCCATACTTGCTCCAAAAATACAGTGTAGAATCAAGCTGTTATCAAAAATAAATAATAAAAATAAAATAAATATATTTTATAATTGTAAGAACCTGAAGAGAAATTATTCAAAAGAATATTCTTCGTTCAGATTGACTTTCAATTCAATTCATAAACAAAACAGACTACATTTGTAATATGACATAGAAATCCCCCAGAAAACTCAGCCATCGATTAACGAATCAAAACTATCCAATAACGTAATTATGTCAGTACAAGCATAAATCACGACTTGTCGATATTATGTGGTTGGAGGCAGTCGGCAGGAAGCCTGGCTTCATCTAGATTTCGTGCTAGTTGGAACTCATCAACGAGCCAACTAGCATCGTGGTCACATTGCGAAATTGGCTGATAGAATTCAGTTTTCAGTAGACAAAAGACTAGACACATGACACTAGTGTCAGTGTCCTAGGAAATATACACCCCATGCATTAATTACCAATATTATTTATACTTACCCTTTTAAGGAAATTTGACATTTCACCTGTTAATTGTGCTACCTGTTGTTCAATAAGTAATTCACATGTATATTTCAATTGACTATCCAACTGACGCCTAGAATCCACTTCAATATCAATTGCATTTGGAGTTTCCAACAAAAATCTCAATAAGGCATTCTCTCGACTTAGTGAAAACAAACCACTTCCTCTATGTTCCCAAATATGACGTGCAACATCTGTAAATAAGTTAAATAATTGAACAAAATAAGAATTTATATACAAACTGAATTGGATAGTGTAAAAAAATATTTTTAGTAAATATAGTTCGTGTGTACTAGTGGTATTTTTTAGAATTAGTTAGCTGGTTAGTTAGTAATTGCAAAAGAAATCATGACCTGGTTGTTCAAATATCGCGAGAATTAGCTCCAGTTGTTGAAAGTATATCCACTGCCTAAATCTCAGCGATGTGAAACACAAATATCTTTATCATAGTCACCATGAAATAGGCATCATCTAGATTACTGTCTTAGAAGTAGGATCCGACTTGGGGAGGTGAACAAGTTGTAAGAGATCTTGGTCCAAAACGTTTACTGCATATGCGACCTCTAGTAGTTCGGCCTCATTTTCTGAACTCAACAAGAAGTCAACTATTACATTTTTTCCTGGAATATGTCTAATCCTAAAATCATACTCTTGTAGGCGTGGCATTCATCGTGACAACTTCCCTCGAGGGTCCGTCGCTGTATTCGGCCACTGTAGAGGTTTTTGGTCAGTCTCAATGTGGAATCGGTGGCCGATCACGTACATTCTCTATTTTTCTAGTGCCCACACAACAGCTAGACACTCGTTTCCTTTTCCAACGTAGAATGCTTTTGCTCTGCAGGTGTTAACACACGGCTACCCCGTCCGTTTGTCTTAAAACAACACCTAAACCATAATCACTCGTATCTGTCGAAACTGTCAACTGCTTCCCAGGTACTGGCAATTTCAATGTCATCTGTTGACCATCTGACAGCTCTTCAATTCGATTAAACGTTTGCCGCGCCCCAGTCGTCCACGTGAATTTCGCGTTACTCAACAACCTATATAGTGGCCTCGCCATCTCGCTGAAATTTTTGACAAACCGGCTGTAGAATGCCACTCTTCTCAAAAACTGTCTCAGCCTTCGTTTCGAATATGGTACTTCACTGGTTTTGACGGTCAGGATTTTCTCAGGCAATGGTCGTATTTCCCCATTTCTCACTCTATAACCCAGGAGGACAACAGTCTTTTTGGCTATTTGTGACTTGCTCTTATTAATATGCAGCCAGAATTCATCAATTCTCTTCAAGATGGCTTCGATTTGGTCTAGATGATGGCCTCCTCTCTCACTACACACAACCAAGTCATCTCCATATACTCCTACGTCCTTCAGACCCTTCAGTAATAAGGTCATTAATCTTCTGAACATAAATGGGGCGCCTACCAATCCAAACGGTATTCGTCTAAACTGGTATTGTTTCCGTCCAACCGTGAACACTGTTTCGCTTCGGTCACTTTCTGTTATTGGGATCTGCCAGTAACCCCATCTTAGTTAGAAAACGGTGAATAACTTAGCCTTCTGAAGGCGATCAAGGGTTTCTGTTACGATTGATAATGCACACTGCTTTACTTCAATGAGGCTATACAGCTATCTGAAATCGACACAAAATCTATACTTTCCGTTAGCCTTCTTTACCAAAAGGATCGGAGAACTATACGGGCTATCGGCTTCTTCTATTATTCCGTCACTTAGCATTTTTTTGACTTGTCAGTTAACTTCTTCTTCTTCTAGGTGCACAGGAACTCGTTGTGCTGAGAAAGCTGCCTTCCCCGGGTCCTTCAGTGGGATGTCATGCTTTACCTCATCACAACATCCGTAGGGTTTTCCATCTCCAGGGAATAAGCACGCATATTCACTCAACGAAATGATTACATTTGGTGCTTCTTTCGGAACAAGCATTGTGGCTTCTTCCTCAGCAACTTCACTGTTCTCATGCATCACAAACTGCCCATGGTTTCTGATCACCCTCCGATTCTTAACATCGACTACAGCGCCTACTTCTCTGAGGAAGTTCGCCGTATATTTGACGTTACAATGAACGGATATCGCATTTCCTTTGCTCCGGTCTCTACAACGCAGTCGGAAACACCAAGAATCTGTAAAGAATTTTCCCCTACCGTCTCAACCGCTAATGTGCACGCCCTTGCTTCCTCACACTGTTCTCTACCTACGAAAGAAACTGCTGCCTGTGTGTCAGTCAAACAGACTAGTTCTCTCCCATTAACCTGTAATTGTCCGTACTCAGCACCTCTTTCAACTAATCCCACAATCCCCAAACGCAAACGAGGAAAACAAGGAAGACTGTATCGTTTGAAGTTTTTTGCTTTCGTTTCAGGCAATTTGTCTTCCAGTGACCGGTTCCTCAGCAATCAAATCATCTGTTGTTGCTTCTTTCTCGTATTTGGGTAGCCGCCACCTGCTGTTTCAACTCTTCAATCTTCCTGGCACTCCATCATCACTGGAGCAACATTCGAAGTCATCAGTTGCTTTGTGACTTTTGCCACTTCTTCAACGTCCATCCGCTGAGCTGCGTTAACTAGCTACAGCTGATAAGCGATAGCCGTATGGACGCATTTGATGAACTGGAAAGCTAGCAACTGCCCTCGAGAATCTTCGTCTAATGTGGGTAATGCGCATCGCAGAAGATTTGTTAGCGTCACTGCAAGAACCAACGGATCCCCGTCCCGAACAGGCCTCAGAGTCCGGAACTTCTGCAGTACCCCTTGTCTATCTGTGGGGCTGTCGAACTTGCAGACGAGCCTCTCGACGACTTTGTCACACGCCGCCTCATTAGCAATATCTGGGGGGCCATCGTAGGCGGCCTTCCCACAGCCTCTCAGCAGAGTCCCCAAGACGACCAGCTTCGCCCACTATTGTTGCACTCCAACCAGGTCCGGGAAGGTCTCGAAGTCCCTGAGGAATGTCCGAACCTATTCTTCTTCGGACATCCGGGGCCATTGCACCTTCGTCTCTGGCAGAGGCAGGCACACCAATTATAAGGAAGAAAAGACTGATCAGGCTCGAAGGAATGTTTACTAGGACAAACGAATTGTAGGCACATAAATGCTTTATTTCCACATCTTTTGGAAATTGGTCAAATATCAGCCCATTCGATAGCTTGTTGAGTTCTACATAGTGTTTGTAACGTTCTTTTCACAGTTCTCTTCTTCCATTGCTTTTTCCAGTTTCGGAAGCATATTTCTGCATTACCTGATCTCGTCACTGATATACTACTTATATCTGTCTATAAATAGCACTCACCACAATACTATTACCAATGAGAATGTGGCTTAATAGGGCCACGTACTGACGAAGCAGAATACAATTATCCGAACAAGGATCCTTCCTATACGCTAAAATATCATTAGGAGTAATGTATTAGTAGTTGTTGTTCAGACTGACCAATCAATTCGCCTGAATACAATAAACATGACATATAAATATAATATTCACAAAATAATGACAGCATAAATGCACAACCGACTTTTGTATGGTGAAAAATCCAAACTAGTCTCTTTGACTAAGAACTCAATACTGAATGGGGCCATTTGTTCACGTAGTATAAGAAGATGTTTAATGAGAAATAATTGTCCATCAAGTTCTGTCCGACGAAGGCTGATTGCATCGCTTGCTTTCACCAACGACTGAACGCACATTGACACACATTCTTGGGCTAAACCACGGAATGAGTCAGTCTATCAAAGAAATGAAACACATAAATTCAAAAAAAACTTTGAAATATATTTAACAGGAGTTGATGATCATGGATTAATTTACTTCGACCTAGTGGTCAGATGATAAGGTGTTCAGTTAAAACCTGGAGATCCTAGGCACAATGCTTTGTGGTGTAGACAAGTTACACAACCCAAGACTTGCATACGAGAACGAAACAAACTCTGAGTGGCTAACTGACTGACTGGTTTCAGCGTAGAACTTTGCCACGATACCCAGAAGTTCGAGCCGCCACACCTCATGCATTGTACCACACAAACTAAGAAACGACAGTCAAGGAAGATTCAAAACAGATATAATAAACACACACACACACATCAGGCAAAAAGAATAGTCATATCGAAAAACAATATTCTTTTATCGTTGGATATGATAAGTAAGTCACAAGGAGTGGATGCATCCGCGCTATTCACAACGACGATTTTCAGCCATATCACCAATTGTCTCCAGTCTTCATTGGGTCCCACCATCCCGATGACCACAACCAGCCAACTAGGAAGTCTACACCTCCCTACGTGGTTGACTGGCTGGCTGGCTGGCCTAAACTAACTGTGGTGCATTTCTTCATTGACTAATGAAGCCATGTTTTCCTTTGATTACCACCACTGGCACTTTTCCAACATGATCCATTCTATGTCAGCTAACATTTCCCGTTGAGGAAGGCGATGGATGGCTAGGCATACATAGCACATGTCCTCACCATCTCAATCGATGTAACTTCACAGACTCGTCGCCTGATTTCCCCTCCCATCTACCTATCACTCGACCGATGCCTAACCTCGGTATTGCTCACCCTATTATACCACTTCACACGAAAGATAGAAACCAGACACCCATGATCAAGGACAGCTAGCCAGGCTTTCACTGTCTTCCACTTTCAATGGCCAGGTGTCACAGCTGGCCATAAACGAGAACAGAGCGAACTGGTGAGCAGTACACGCGACCTTCGGTCGACAGCCAGCCGGATATCACGTCCACTAACCCAGAGACGGCGTAAACTGGCACATGCGAAACGAGCCCTCTGTATTCGTCCTGAGATTTAGTCAGCGATCAACCCACTGGCGATGGCTGATGAAACTCCACAAATAAGTGAAGTGGTCAACACTTTCTACCACTTCACTCCCTTTCTATCTTTAAGCTAGGAGTCAATGTAGCCCAGTCCAGTCCAGTCCAGTCCAGTCCAGCCCAGTCCTGTCCTGTCCTGTAGCATCATCTTACATTTGACAGGAGCGAGTCGTATTCCCAAAATTCCAAGATGTTTCTTCATGGTGTTCAGAAGACTCTGCACTTTGTCAGCGTCTTCACCTAGCCGGACTACGTCATTCGCATATTATAAGTCGACGAGATTATACCCTAGTAACAAGTCAATCTCTGAGTCGCTGAACTTAGTTACGATTAAGTCCATTAATACATCTAGGATGAAATTAAATAGAAATGGGGAGAGTGGGCATCCCTGACAGACACCACTAGTTGTCACCACTTCAGATGACAACTTTCCTTAGGCACTTAGCTGGCTGCGTGAGTTTAATATGTTTGACCTGGTTAATGTAATATACCTTCTAGACACTCTATTCACGGCAAAACATTTCCGTAGTACCTTCCGGTCGACAGAATCGAATGTCACTTTCAGGTCGAAGAAATATGAGTACTTTTTATCAATAGCCTTTTATATGATGCTTATGTATTTTACTCCCAACAATGACATTGCAGATCAAATGAGATAAACATATCACTGATTTCAAAATAACACATCAATGAACTATAATCCAAGGACTCTGCACACAAAATGTATTGTACGAAAATTGACTTCAAGCTTTATTTTTTTTTCCCAGGCACTTATAACGCATCCACCAAAGACCTGGTTTTTTTGTTAATGCGAAGACAATACTTCTGTAATTCCTGATGTGTTGCACTCACTGACAATCTAGCGGATTTTTCCAACTATGCGCAGAAATGATTGTACATAAGTGAAAAGGATGTTTTATACTATTGGGATTAACATTTATCAAGTGTATGTATAATCTCCAGTGTACATGTTAAACATATTTTGCTATCGACTGTAAATTGTGACTGAATAATATGATCCTATTTCTGTAACAATTTGATGATGCCTGTAAACTGGCGTCCCTCATGTACTGTATCATGAGAATAAATTTATTTATTTATTCCTATACTTCATGATGTGCTCCATTGAATGACTTGTTATATTGTGGAATAACCTCAAGCTTTATTTTTTCCCAAGTATTTTTAATCCATCCAAAACATACTTGGGTTTTTTTGTTAATGCGAAGTTAATATTCCTATATTTCATGACGTGCTCCATTGAATGACTGGTTATCATATTGTTCCCACAGACCTAAGACAAAAACGCCAGCAACCATGTAACTTAACCATGAACCAAATTTATGAAATTAATATAATGCTTATCATGCTGTATATTTGGTGTGTCCTACACAAGTAGGAAAAAATGTGTATTTTATTAAAACATTATTATTAATTATGATTGCTAATCGTATATGTAATTTATCATATTGATGATGCCTGTAAACTGGCGTCTCTCATGTACAAAATGAGAAAAATGATGCCAATTTGCGACAAAAAAGCCACCAAGATACTAAAGAGAAGTCAACAGATATTGAGATAGAAGCTCATTTACAGAAACTACATAACTAAACACAATGACGTGATAATCCTGTCTCAGGAAAATAAACCAAAACAAAGGTATATCAATAATTCAGACCAAAAAAGTGAAACCAACACATGACTGAGAATATGTAGGACAGTTAAAAGCAAACAAGCAGCGATCATACATCTTTCACTATTACCACCACTACTCAGAACATAATAAACCGGTCTACACTTTGCAAAATGATTAATCCTGTATTAAAGTCAACAAACTAGGTAGCCATAAAATCGACATGAATGTAACGGTACATTACTGATCTCTTTATTATCCTAGAGAGAGAGAGTGAGTGAACTGACAGTTTAAGGCGTGTTACTAGGCTTTATAAATAAATTAGAGTAAACATTGTCGAAGTTTCAGTTCATTCATAAGCTCGTGTTTGAGTGCGACAGATACATTCTGGTTATTGTCAGACATCACTTATAAGATAACATTCTTCTTACATTGCTATGGGAGAAATTACCTAACAATACTGTTGACACCTGACTTGTTTTATAATCACTGCGACAGTGTAATGAAAGCCTGTCTTGCTTTTCCTATCCATGCTTTGATATCCTCGTCAGTTCCGCCTATAGTTGAAACGATGCTTCCCAGGTAGGTAGGTAGGTAGGTAGGTAGGTAGGTAGGTAGGTAGGTAGGTAGGTAGGTAGGTAGGTAGGTAGGTAGGTAGGTAGGTAGGTAGGTAGGTAGGTAGGTAGGTAGGTAGGTAGGTAGGTAGGTAGGTAGGTAGGTAGGTAGGTAGGTAGGTAGGTAGGTAGGTAGGTAGGTAGGTAGGTAGGTAGGTAGGTAGGTAGGTAGGTAGGTAGGTAGGTAGGTAGGTAGGTAGGTAGGTAGGTAGGTAGGTAGGTAGGTAGGTAGGTAGGTAGGTAGGTAGGTAGGTAGGTAGGTAGGTAGGTAGGTAGGTAGGTAGGTAGGTAGGTAGGTAGGTAGGTAGGTAGGTAGGTAGGTAGGTAGGTAGGTAGGTAGGTAGGTAGGTAGGTAGGTAGGTAGGTAGGTAGGTAGGTAGGTAGGTAGGTAGGTAGGTAGGTAGGTAGGTAGGTAGGTAGGTAGGTAGGTAGGTAGGTAGGTAGGTAGGTAGGTAGGTAGGTAGGTAGGTAGGTAGGTAGGTAGGTAGGTAGGTAGGTAGGTAGGTAGGTAGGTAGGTAGGTAGGTAGGTAGGTAGGTAGGTAGGTAGGTAGGTAGGTAGGTAGGTAGGTAGGTAGGTAGGTAGGTAGGTAGGTAGGTAGGTAGGTAGGTAGGTAGGTAGGTAGGTAGGTAGGTAGGTAGGTAGGTAGGTAGGTAGGTAGGTAGGTAGGTAGGTAGGTAGGTAGGTAGGTAGGTAGGTAGGTAGGTAGGTAGGTAGGTAGGTAGGTAGGTAGGTAGGTAGGTAGGTAGGTAGGTAGGTAGGTAGGTAGGTAGGTAGGTAGGTAGGTAGGTAGGTAGGTAGGTAGGTAGGTAGGTAGGTAGGTAGGTAGGTAGGTAGGTAGGTAGGTAGGTAGGTAGGTAGGTAGGTAGGTAGGTAGGTAGGTAGGTAGGTAGGTAGGTAGGTAGGTAGGTAGGTAGGTAGGTAGGTAGGTAGGTAGGTAGGTAGGTAGGTAGGTAGGTAGGTAGGTAGGTAGGTAGGTAGGTAGGTAGGTAGGTAGGTAGGTAGGTAGGTAGGTAGGTAGGTAGGTAGGTAGGTAGGTAGGTAGGTAGGTAGGTAGGTAGGTAGGTAGGTAGGTAGGTAGGTAGGTAGGTAGGTAGGTAGGTAGGTAGGTAGGTAGGTAGGTAGGTAGGTAGGTAGGTAGGTAGGTAGGTAGGTAGGTAGGTAGGTAGGTAGGTAGGTAGGTAGGTAGGTAGGTAGGTAGGTAGGTAGGTAGGTAGGTAGGTAGGTAGGTAGGTAGGTAGGTAGGTAGGTAGGTAGGTAGGTAGGTAGGTAGGTAGGTAGGTAGGTAGGTAGGTAGGTAGGTAGGTAGGTAGGTAGGTAGGTAGGTAGGTAGGTAGGTAGGTAGGTAGGTAGGTAGGTAGGTAGGTAGGTAGGTAGGTAGGTAGGTAGGTAGGTAGGTAGGTAGGTAGGTAGGTAGGTAGGTAGGTAGGTAGGTAGGTAGGTAGGTAGGTAGGTAGGTAGGTAGGTAGGTAGGTAGGTAGGTAGGTAGGTAGGTAGGTAGGTAGGTAGGTAGGTAGGTAGGTAGGTAGGTAGGTAGGTAGGTAGGTAGGTAGGTAGGTAGGTAGGTAGGTAGGTAGGTAGGTAGGTAGGTAGGTAGGTAGGTAGGTAGGTAGGTAGGTAGGTAGGTAGGTAGGTAGGTAGGTAGGTAGGTAGGTAGGTAGGTAGGTAGGTAGGTAGGTAGGTAGGTAGGTAGGTAGGTAGGTAGGTAGGTAGGTAGGTAGGTAGGTAGGTAGGTAGGTAGGTAGGTAGGTAGGTAGGTAGGTAGGTAGGTAGGTAGGTAGGTAGGTAGGTAGGTAGGTAGGTAGGTAGGTAGGTAGGTAGGTAGGTAGGTAGGTAG